TCTGGGGCTGGTCTCACTCGCCGTCAGACATTTGTGTATGCTTGGCTTCGCTGGCTTCCGTGGAAAAGGTCCAGGCAGAGTTGTTGCCATTAGGGAAAAAAATGTGTGTGGCTCAGGTTGGGTGGGAAGAGGGTCTCATTCCTTCCACCCTGACCTCATTCTGCTTCCCACAGGGACCGAGGCCTTCATGGCAGTGACTGTTAGCAGGAGTGTAGGTGGTCACCTGGGATGACCTAGGGCCCTGGGGATGGAAGCCCAGAGCATGCAAAAGGGCCTCCATCCAGGGTTCCTTGGACTCTGGGCAGCCTGCTTCCGTCTCCCCTTGGCTTGGTCAAGCATCGTCAGCAGATCAGGGAGTGTTTTATTGGAAAAGACTTGGAAACGGCTCCCACTCCCTCCCTGTGGGTGGTATGGTCATCTGAATGGGGTTGGTTCTGATGTTAGTGAGGTCACCCAGCCAGGGCCCCAGTGGCTCTCTCCAGATGGCCTGGCCAGGCCTGGTCTGGCTGTACTCCCCCAGGCTCCAGGCTCTCAGCTGTCTTTTGTGTCTTGGGCCAGACAAGTCTGGCCAGGACATGGACAGGCTAGGCTGAGCCTGTTGCATGGCCCCTGATGGAGTCCAGTCTTTCCTCTGGTGACTGATGTCCCTGACCTGATTTTAAAAAGAAGACAGACCGGCTGATGTGCGGACTCTGCTATTTTACCTGGTGACTGTAGCAGGCGCCTGCCTTGACTGCTCCTTCCATCCAATCACCCATATCTTGTGTCCCTACTACCCGGAAGCGACCACCAAGCACCAGGGACGCAAAGACAGAGCTTGACTTTTTGAGCTCTCTAGTGAGACAGGCCACAGGTACAGTATTGCATCAAACAGTTCAGGAGGCTGCTGGAGGAGGCTCTGCACCCCTCGGGAGAGCTGGCCTCTACACTGAGGCCCGGAGGCTTCTCTCCTTGTACTTGCTAACCTGGATCATTTCCAATTGCCCCAGAAGCTGGACTCTATAAGTATCATTCTCCAGTCCTCAGGTGGCTGCTTTGTGGGGGAGGCTCTCCTTCCTGGTTGTTTTGGGGGTGTCTGTTTGTTTTCTGGAGAGTGGAACCCAGGGCCTTGAGCATGCTAAGCACCTGCTCTGAGCCAGCCTCATCTTGCTCTTTTGGAAGTGGTTTGCTCTTGGAAGTCCCACCGTGTTCCCATTTCTAGCCTGGCTTCTTTCTGTGTGGCCCTGTGCCCAACGTTGGGGGCTGGATGCACGTCAACCTACTTAACGTTCATTGCAACCCTCTTTATGTCCGGTTGTCATCCCCACTGTTCAGCTGACAGAATACAGAGCGTAGGTGATTCTAGAGGTCACCCAGCATGTAAATGGCCTGTCCTTGAAGGCTTTCCAGGACCCTTGGGTGCCAGGCAGGCAAACTCTCCAATCTTGGTGCCCTGTTGCCAAGAAGCACACCCTCCTCTCCCAGGGGAGCCCCTGCACCTGCTGGGAGCCTCGGTCCTCATCAAAGACCCCCGCGACTCTCTGGTTTCTGGTCACTTGGTCCCAGATGCTTTCTGCAGCACTCACCTTGAATTCTGGTTTTTTCCCCCCCCTTGGGACAGGAGGGGATCATATTACCACTGTTAATACCTCCCCTGAAACCCTAAATTCAGTTTTCCCAAAACTCAAGCAGTGGGTTTTAAAGACCACCATTTAAAACTGGAGAATAGGAGTGCTGGGGCCTGATACACCAATTAGCCCAACTCTTTTATTTTGAATGAAGAATCAGAGACCAGAGAGGTGGTATGACTTGCCCAGAGCTACACAGAAATTTAGGAGCATAGCTGAGGCAGGAGCTCAGGTCCTCGGTTTATTTTTTTATTTTATTTTATTTTATTTATTTTTTGGTACCAGGGATTGAACCCAGGGGTGCTTTAACCACCAAACCACATTCCCAGCCCTTTTTATTTTTTATTTTGAGACAGGGTCTCTCTGAGTTGCTTTGGGCCTTGCTAAGTTGTTGAGGCTGGCTTTGAACTCTCAATCCTCCTGCCTCAGCCTCTGGAAGAGCCGCTGGGATTTCAGGTGTGCACCAGCCTGCCGGGAAGGAACTCAGTTCTTTTAAATCCCAGTTGAGAGAAGCCATCAAAAGGGTTTTGGGTTTGATTTCAGTGTTTGAAACAAATTCCCAGGTGATAGAATTTTTTTTAATTTTTTTAATTTTTTTTTTTAATTTTTTTTATATTTTGTTATATCTTATTATAACCACCCATAAGTAATTATGTAAAAGTTCTATGTGGGCATTTGGCATTATATCAACAACCCTCTCAGATGTGAAACATTATTGAACTCATTTAACAGAGGAGGAAACTGAGGGTCTGAGAGGTTAAGGATCTTGGCCAGGGTTATGCTGGTGGTAGGAGGCCAAATCAAGTGGCTGCTACCCCTCAAGCCTCAGCCCTGTGCTATGGGGTTTGGGAAAGGTAGTCACAAAAGTTGGGACATGAAGCAAAAGTCCAGTATGATTTTTGTCTCGTTTTAAACATGAACACATGCTTACTCAACAAATGGACATGTAGACTCCAAATGTTGATAGCAATGACCTCTGGTATGGGATTATGGCAATACTTACTTTTTTCCTATGTGTTTTCCTCAACTTTCAAATTTATATAGTGAGAAAGTTGGATTGGGGGATTTTTGTTTGGTGGGTTGGTTTTTGTACTGGGGGCTGGAACCCAGGGGCCCTTTACCACTGAGCTACACCTTCAGTTCTTTTTGTTTTGATTTTGAGGGACGGTCTTACTAAATTACCCACGCTGGCCTCGAATCTGCAATCCTCCTACCTCAGCCTCCCAAATCACTGGAATTACAGGAATGTGTCTCCATATCCAGCCCAGAGAATATTATTTTTATCACCAGATAACTTGTAAGAAGTCTGTGTTCCCAACCGCCAAACAGGTCTAGTTAGTCCTGATAATAGAGCTGCAGGAGTACTTCTCTTTCTGATTGGACTGTGTGGCTCATCAGAAGAGGGAGAGGTGCCCTGGAGATACGGGGGGGCCCGTTCTAAACAAGGCAGAAGGGTAGAGTCGGGAAGGTCCTTGGAAATCCATCCCCAGCTGGGAGAGGGCTCCTGACAACAGATCCAGGACCAGGGCTCCTTCCTGCATGCTTCGGAGTTCTCAGGTGACAGTGGGAGTTTGGAAAGAAATGCCCAGTCAGCAGCTGGGGGCCCGGGACTAGGTTTTAGCGCATTGAGGACAGGAGTGGAGGGGCAGGTAGGGTGGGGTTCCTAGGGATATTTTAGGGGATCCCAGCTGGAAGCCTACCTCCTCTGACCCATCCACTTGGAGAAAGGCCTCCAGCAAAGAGGAGCTCTGTTGTCACGAGGGACAGGTGTGTGGCCACAGGAAAGGCAGTGATCAGCTCACCTCTGAGATTTCCAACTCGAACCATCTCGTGCGGCTCTGGGAGACTCAAGGTCTATGCAATGAAATTCTTAAAGTGATTTTGTTTTTGTCTTTGACCAGAGACCACCTGGGAACGTCCCAGCAGTTCTCCTGGGATTCCAGCCAGCCCTGGCCCTCACAGGAGCTCTCTGCCTCCAACAGGTACGGTCCACGCACCCATTTGGGGCAACGGGGAGAGGCCACACGTCCACCTCCCGGGCTGAGACTCTGGGTCCTGGGGGCTGAGCCCTGCTTTGGGATCTTATAGCCCAGACCTGGGGAGGGGTCAGGCCGGGCAGTTCCCTTAACGCCTGTTGCCCAGCAGTTGGGTAACTCCCTGCTAGTGACGGTGACAGCTGTGGTGGCCTCACGCTCCTGCCCACTCGGGGGTCTTTGGGCGAGGAGATGGCTGGGTGAAGTCAAGTATCAAGAGATCCTCCCTGAAGTGGAGACAAATGTGTGGCTTTGGTGGGCATCAAAGAGTAGCAACTAAAAGGAGACCCATTTGTACAGGGCAGCTCTCAAACAGAACATTCTGGAAAGGTAATGGGATTCTTTGTAAGGATGTGAGTTAGCTCTGTCTTCAGCGGTAATCCAGTGGAGGCCTTCAAGGTCAACATGCCCGTGATCGGTGGAGTGTACTTCTGAGATATCAGGAGGAGGGTTGCAGGGCCTATCAGCTGGGAGAAGAGTTTCTGATTTCTTGTGGTTTAAGCCCTTTTTGAGATGTCACCTCTTCTAGGAAGCCTTCCCTGACTGCTCTGTTTAGTGCCCTCACACATTTCCTCTGGATCACAGCAGTGTGCTGCTTTACTGAGCTCAAGAGTTTTCTCCCTGTGGATTTTGCCACACCATTGAGCCAACTGAGAGTGCGGATTTGGTCTCTCTTCTTTTTAAAATAACTTTGTGTGTGTGCTGAAGATGAAACCCAGGGCCTCTGACATGCTAGAGAAGCATTCTACCACTGAGCCACACCCCTAGCCCTGCTTTGTTCTCCCATCCCCTCAAAATCTCTCTCTCTC